AAAAGTACAAAATCCCATCTAATCTTAAGTGCTAAATGGGATTAGTACTTGGATGGGAGACCACCAATGAATACCAGGTGCTGTAGACTGTATTTCTGAGGAAGGAAATGGTGAAACCACAAATCAGTATTTCTTGCCTAAGGACACCCTATGAAATTCATGGGGTCACCATAAATTGACAGACTATGTGAAGGCGCATACACACATATTACCCTCACTACTACAAAAACCTCACTTTAATCCTCATCATAGTGCCTTATCACATGTTTGCTCAATTACCTTTTTAGTCAAAATTACTACCTCAGAGGGTTAAAAGTGAATATCTTTGCATTCCATATATTATCAATGTTAATGGCAGTCATCCTCTATTCTTAGATATTCTGCCTTGGGATGCAGTCCAATAATAGATGGCAGGATCACAGATGATGTATAGCAGACATGGGCAAACATTGGGCCACCAGGTGTTTTGGACTTCAACTCCCACAAGTTGTAGTTGAAGTGCGAAACACCTGGAGGGCCAAAGTTTGCCCATGTCTGCTGTATACAGTGAGTCCCACAGTCCAAATATTCTTACTGGACTGAGATATGAGCCATGCAATATCTGAAATACATGTTCAGAGGACATAAGATAGCCTGGCATACATATATGCTAAGTAGATTTCTCTAGGCCTTTCACACTACAGAATTATAGTGCTTGGATCCTATTTTGATTCCACTCTAAGTGCCACAACTGCATCCTACTGATACATCCTGTAGTCTGGGGTACCTCATGATACTACAGATATCAGCATTCCACAGATAGAACTATGGCAGCGGTAATCAAAGTGCTATAATTGTGTAGTGTGAAAAGGCCCAAAGATGTGGAAGCAGGGAGAGCTAGTTGTTACAACACAGCCACAGGTCCGCAGTTTGGGTGTCCTCTTGGACTCATCGCTCACACTTGAGGCTCAGGTGTCGGCGGTATCCGGGAGGGCCTTTGCACAATTGAGACTTGTGCGCCAGCTGCGCCCGTACCTCGCGAAGGCTGATCTGGCCGGGGTGGTCCATGCCTTGGTCACCTCTAGAATGGATTACTGCAATGCGCTCTACATAGGGCTGCCCTTGAAAACGGCTCGGAAACTCCAATTGGTCCAGCGGGCAGCAGCCAGGATGCTAACTGGGCTTACAGAGAGAGGTCAACCCTCCTGTTTAAGGAGCTCCACTGGCTGCCGTTTATTTTCTGAGCCCAATTTAAGGTGCAGGTGCTTACCTACAAAGCCCTGAACGGTTTGGGACCACCCTACCTGCGTGACCGCATCTCCACCTACGAACCCACACGCTCACTCCGATCATCTGGGGAGGCCCTGCTCGTGATCCCACCCACGTCGCAAGCACGCTTGGTGGGGACACGGGACAGGGCCTTTTCTGTGGCGGCCCCCCGACTTTGGAACGCCCTCCCAAAAGATCTCCGACAGGCCCCTACTCTGGCAGTTTTCAGAAAGAACCTAAAAACCTGGCTGTTCCAATGTGCCTTTTCAGATTAGGAATTCCCCATCACTAAGTCCTAGAAGCACTTTAGTAGAATAAAGATCGCTGCACACCGCACTTATTTAATCCTACGTTCCTCCTGCCATCTCAGCACTTTTAACCTTGTACCCATTGCTCTGGCCGGCCCAGTTTTAAAGTGTCCGACGTATTGTTATTGTTGTTGTTTTGCTTAATTATTTTGATTTGCTCTTGTTTTATTGTGTGTTATGATGTGTTGTATTGTGTTTTGAGGCTTCGGCCTATGTGAGCCGCATCGAGTCCTTCGGGAGATGCTAGCGGGGTACAAATAAAGTAATAATAATAATAATAATAATAATAATAATAATAATAATAATAGTGGCACTGCTAGCATGCTCAAAGACAGATACTTGAATTATTACTTCATATATGCCAAAATCTTTGAAATGGGGAACTTTTCCAAGTTGCTGTAATGAAACCCTTGGGCACATCTACATTGGCTGCTTAAAATGGATTAAAGACATCTTGAAAACGTGGTGGATGAAGAGCATGAATATGCATGGGAATGTGCTTTAGAGGCCTTAATCAGGGATAAGCCATCGGTGAGTGTAGGTCACATGGTGAAGCAGATAAAGTGCTTTGAAAAAAAGGCATGGATGCTAGGGATCCTAGAACCAGGTGATATCTAACTTCTCTGGTGCGAATAAGCATTGACCAGGCCTTGACCTGTTTCCAGGGCTTTGTGTGTGATCAGCATCATTTCACTTCTCTTCTCTCTTTGCCACTTTTGTCCCAAATTACTAGTGCCACATAGACACTGATCATTTAATACAATTCAGTGCTAGCGGGGACAGGACAACAAACTCTCACAGAAGACTAGAAGAACTCCCACTGGAGACAAGGACATGGAACAATGGCTTCAAACTACAGGAAAAGTTATTCCACTTGAACATAAGGAGAACTTCCTAACTTTGAGAGATGTTCAGCAGTGGAACTCTCTGCCCTGGAGTGTGGTGGAGGCTCCTTCTTTGGAGGATTTTAAACAGAGGCTAGGTGGCCATCTGTTGGAGGGGGTTGAATACAATTTTCCTGCTTCTTGGCAGGGGGTTGGGCTGGCTGGCCCATGAGGTCTCTTCCAACTCTATGATTCTTTAAGTGCACGAAAGAAAGCCCTTAAGGTGCATAAGTGTTCTGCAGTTTCTGTCATCATCTTCCAGGTCCTCCAGGCTTTCCTATGGAATCATCTACACAGCAAAACCACTTTCTTCAATACAGTTTGAAACTGCATCAAATGGTCAGTGCTGATGGGACTTGTCAGTGTAGATGAGTTCCTAGAGAGGACATTCAGTTGCTTACAGAAGTTTAGTTGTGCAGCAATCCGCAAAAGGGAACTACAGGGAGGGAAGAGCTGTAGCAGCCAGCGAACTTGCAGCATCAAAAATAATCACAAGGCACCTTGTTAAATCACTTCCCACCAGTGAAGGTTTCTTTGAGGTTTTAACTAAAGATAGAAAGAAAAATCTGGAGCATCTACTTTTCTAGTAATCCACCCTGTCTCCTGTCCAAACCTTCCCACAGTAATTCGGAAGCAAACCACAATGGAGCCCATAACATTAAAAGATAGAAACACACATAAGGAGTCGTTCATGCTTCCGAAGCAACCCTGGAAGCAAAGCTAATGTGGAGGGAAGAAACCAAGCGCTCCTCTATATTCTAACTTGGATTAATCATCAACAAGATGACAAATCTCCCGAAGGGAATATTTGTCTCAACTTTTTCAGACACAGTTCTTTCCCCTCCCATTTCTCCAGCACACACTGAATAACTTGAAAGGAGGGGGAGAGTGAAGTGAATCTGGGACATCAATCTGTGAAGACGAAAGTCTAAAAAGGGCTGAAACTGTTTGTTTTGTACCCAAATGAAATCCATTTTTTTCACTTTAAGGAGTGACTTGAGAAACTGCAAGTTGCTTCTGGTGTGAGAAAATTGGCCAACAGCAAGGATGTTGCCCAGGGGATGCCTGGATGTTTGACCATCCTGTGGGAGGCTTCTCTCATGCCCCCCTATGGAAAGCTGGAGCTGACAGACGGGAGCTCACCTCATTTCCTGGGTTTGAATCACCAACCTTTTGGTCAGCAGTCCTGCCAGCACAAGGGTTTAACCCATTGCACTACCAGGGGCTCCTTGAAAGAAGTAAACAATCAAGAATAGGAAAAATGGGAAAATCACCATTCTCAGTGTGCACCTCCACTGCAGAATTAATAAAGGTTGACAACACTTTTAAGTAGACACTGCAGATTTTTTGGAGTTCCTAGTTTTACAAGGTCTTTGGTCTTCTCTGCCAAAGCGTTTTGGTGCTACAAATGCCAGGATTCCACAGCATTGTCCCATGGATGTAAAAGTGGTCTCCAACTGCATTCAGCTTCAATCATTGCTTTATATGCTATTGGTTGCATCTTTTATTGTATTGTGTGTTTATTTTATGCATTCTTTTAGGCACATTGTGCTATATGTAAGCCGTCCCAAGTCCCTTTGGGGAGATGGAGATGGGGTACAAAATAAAGTTATTATTATTATTCATTCTATGGTGTAGGTGCACCCTAAATTAACTCAGTACTGATTTGTTTCAGATAGGGGCACTTGCTCGTACAAGCTGCTGTCTCCACAAACTACAAATCCCAGGACTCCGTAGCACTGAGCCAGTGCAGTTCAAGCAGTGTCAAAGTGCATTGACCCCAAAGTGTCAATGCACTTTGAAGAAACGGCTGATTTGAAGAAACAGTTCCCAAACCCGCAAATCGCATGGTCAGGGCTGAAGCTCCACTGTAGAAGGAATGCAGCTGGACACAGCTTGAATGGCCCTGGCGCGTTGCAGTGGAGTCCTGGGAGTTGTAGTTTTGCAAGGTCTTTTTGCCTCCTCTTGCCAAAGTGTGCTGGTGCCTCCCTGAACTACAACTCCCAGGGTGCCACTGCACTGAGGCAAGGCTGCATTCATTATATACAATGATTTTGTGTGTATCAGGAGCGACTTGAGAAACTGCAAGTTACTTCTGGTATGAGAGAACTGGCCGCCTGCAAGGACGTTACCCAGGGGACGCTGGGATGTTCTACCATCCTGTGAGAGGCTTCTCTCATGTCCAGGCATGGGATGCTGGAGCTAACAGAAGGAGCTCAGCCCTTCTGGCGGATTCGAACCACTGACCTTTGAGTCAGCAGTTCAGCCGGCACAAGGGTTTAACCCATTGCGCCAACAGGGGATGCAACGGGGAGGGGGAGAGGCTGCTTTGTAATGCTACTACTACTACTGCTGCTGCTAATAAACAATAATAATAATAACAATAATAATAACAATAATAACAATAATAATAATAATGAATGTATTACCCGCCTCTCTCTGCGACTTGCGGCGGGATACAAGACCGTTGAAACAAGAGAGAAAACACTACTAAAAGACATGCAACACAGTTACAAATGCAAGTTGGACTTCACAACCAGACTGGCCGGGTGCTGCTTACCCCAAGAGGAGCGTGCGGGCTCTCTTTTCCGCTCCGAAAGTTGGGCTGGAGTGGAGTCTTCCTTCCACGCGCGTTTCTTCTGGGGGAGGCTGTCCCTTCACCGCCCCCTTCCTGCCAGGAGCAGGCGCGGGGAAGAAGAAGGAGAAGGAGGAGAAGGCAGCGGCCCCTCGGGCTTGGAGGGAGGGCGGGGGCACCCCATTCTTCCCCTCCTCCTCCTCCTCACCCTCTCCCTCCCCCTCCCGCCCGAACTGAGACCCCCAAAACCGCGGAGGCTTCTCAGGAAGGCAAGACCCCGCGTCCTCCTCTGGCGACGTTCCTATGGCAGCCTCCCGTGACTTCCCAGGTAACTAGGTGCCCGACAAACAAACCTCTGGAGTCCCGTCCGTCCGCAGCGCCTCCTCGAGTGGGGAAAGAGCGCGGGGCTGGTCCAAAGAAGAGCCCACGCGTCGGAGGCTGGGTCTCTTTGGGAGAGAGGCGCTCCTTTGGACCACTTTCCGGGAGAAAGAAGCCCAAAGGGAGGGAGCAGAAGACTTTCTTTCCCCTCAGACTTGGGCTTCTCTTTCTCCACGCTTTCACCAGTTTTTTTATTTATTTCCCTCTCACAGCCACCAAAGTGGGTGTGTTTTTGTAGCCAAGGAAAGGATACTGCCTCAGCTGCCTCTTCTTTGAGGGGATGTGGGGGAAAGTTGGCCGCCTCGAGTGAAAGGAAAGGAAGACCGAGGAAGGAAAGGGGAAGAGGTCGGGCTTCCCACTAATTGGGGAAGAGAGCAACACGCACGTTTTTGGGGAAAGGGTGTCCAAAAAGGGGAGCTGGGGAGAGGGTGCGCACACTCATCTAGTGTCCTAGCAGATAGAGCAAGGATCTCTTGCCTTGGTTCTCGCTTCAAGCCATGTCCTGGTCAAGTTTTGCTTTAAGTCTGGGGGATTTTACCATGAACTCAAGCTCATGTATTGTTCTTTGATTCTTGGATTATTCAAGTTGATGTTTTATTCCTTGTCTTTTGGATTATGCAAGCTCATGATTTAACCCTGCTCCTTGGAATTATGTTCATGCTTTAACCTTTGCATTGGAGATTTATCTCTGGCTTCTGGAACTCCTTTTCGCATCTTCACCTATGAACCAGTGCATACCTTGAGATCTTCTGGGGAGGAACTGCTCTCTCTCCCCCTGCCTTCTCAAGTATGGTTGGTGGGGATGAGGGAGAGAGCCTTCTTGGTGGTGGCCCCTCAGCTCTGGAACTCCCTCCCTAGAGAGATCAGACAGGCTCCCACTTTGTCCTCCTTCTAGAGTCAACTAAAAACCTGGATGTTCCGGTGTGCTTTTGATTAAGCAGCTCACCAGTAATTTTCCTGTCCCTACTTTAAGTTCCGCACTTTACACCGACCCTCATTTGATCTACCTCAACATATGTTATAACAGTATTTCCTGCCCAGTTTACTGGATTGTTGCACTTTCCTTGCGCTCCTGTAAAAATGTATTGCATTAATTGAATCTGTACCTCAACTATGTTCTTTTCTCTCAGCCATATTGTTTTTATATTGATTGTAATTGTGTTGTATTTGTTTTTATCTGACGCTTTTAATTGGTTAAAGTGTTTTACTTGTGTGTATTAATTGTAATTTTGGGTTTGTCCCTTGTTAGCCACCCGAGTCCCCTAGGGGAGGTGGTTGGCGAGATATAAAAATAAAAGTTATTATTGTTGTTGTTGTTGCTTTATCTTACCTATTTGGATTTTTTACTCTTTTACTGTGTGTGCTCTTTCAATAAACGGTTTATTCCTACTTTTGGCTTCCTGGTGAGTAGTTGAGCAAGGTGAACCCCAGCTGAGTTGCAACATCTAGTGTGTGTGTGCACACACGTGCGTCGGTTGCCCACTAGCCAGGCATTCATTCTCTGCAGTTCTTCTGGGGGACATCTACCTTTTAGAGCAGGCATGGGCCAACTTCAGCCTTCCCTGTGTTTTGGACTTCAACTCCTCCTACCAGCCCATGCCTGCTGTAAGGTGAATGCACCAGGCTGCCATAGCTCAGCACATGCATAGTGCAACTTTATAAGAATAATAAACTTTATTTATATCCTGCCCCATCTCCCCAGGGAACTCAACTTTACACAGACATGTTTCACTGCCAAGGATGCCAACCAGTATCTGTTCCAACAGAGTAGACTTCTTTAATCCATGGAACTGACCAAAGTGCTAGCGTGTTTTTATGCAGCAATTGATTCTACTTGTGACCAGATTTAGGCCAGGAGTGTTGCTGAGTGGGAAGGAAATACTATGCCAGCTTACACGATGTGGAGTGCTGGGAATTCCACTTCAGTGGCATCTGGGAAATGCACTTCAATAGTCCTTCTCCATTCTGTTTGGGGACTTCTCTATTATTATATTTTTATTATTATATTTATTAATACCTTGCTTTATCTCCCTCTGAAGGGGACTCAAAGCAGCTTAACATAAAAGCATCAGCATACCAATTTAAAATATACAAACATTAAAACAGGATTAAATATAAATGGTATTTTAAAATTCCCAGTTAAAAATCATTAAAACATATTCAAAGTTGAAAACCAAAGCACTTCCTTAATTGATCTGAAACACTTTAATCATTTAAAGCCTGTCTAAATAAAAGGGTTTTACACTGCTACTGGAAGGACAACAAGGAGGCTTCCCTGGCAGGCCATTCCAGAGTTGAGGGGCAGCCACCGGGAAGGCCTTCTCACTTGTTCCGACCAACGAAGCTTGAGATGGAGGTGAGATAGAGAGAATGGTGTCTCCTGAAGATCTCAGGACCCGGGCAGGTTCATACAAGGGGATGCGGTCAGCCAAATAGCTTGGACCTGAACCATCTAGGGCTTTAAAGATCATAACCAGCACATTGAATTGTGCCCAGAAACAGACTGGCAGCCAGTGGAGCTGCTGCTACAGGCAGGTGTCCGCTTTCTGTAGCCAGCCCCAGTGAGCAACCTGGCTGCGGCTCTTTGGACCAGGTGAAGTTTCTGAACACTCTTCAGAGGCAGCCCCACATAGAGCGCGTTATAGTAATTCAGACAGGATGTACTGTAACTAAGGCATGTACCACCATGGCCAGATCTGGCTTCTCAAGGAATGGGCGCAGTTGGCACACAAGTTTTAATTGTGCAAAGGCGCAGCCACCGCCAACACCGGGGCCTCCAGATTCAATGTTGAGTCCAGGAGGGGCCCCAAACTGCGAGCTTGTGTCTTCAGGGGAAGAGTAACTCCATCCAGAACAGGCTGTCTTCCAACTGACCAGAAGTACCTCTGTCTTGTCTGGATAAAGTTTCGATTTCTTTGCCCTCATCCAGTCCATTACTGATGACAGGCACTGGTTTAGGGTCAGGACAACTTCCTAGGCATTAAGTGGAAAGGAGTAGTAGAGTTGGGTGGCATCCGCATACCCTATTTACTCGCCAAAATTAGGTTGTGCATTAGATTCGTGTGATATGGTAATCCAAGTGCTGAGCCAAAGCAAAAGGGGGAGCTGCTTCAGGAACTGCACCTGGAGCTCCTCTTTGAGGGAGGCCATCTCTAATTTCATTGCCATGGCTCAATGCTATGGGATTCTGGGATTTGTAGTTTGGTGAGGCATTGGCATTTTTTGGCAGAACAGGCTCAAGGCCTTGTGAAACTACAGCCTCCATGGCCCCATATCATTGAACAAGCACAATTAAAGTATATTCATTACACAGTATAGATGCATCCTGGGGATTTTTTTCCATTGCTGGAAGCTTTGGTGTTTTTATGCTTTTGTTTTTGAAGAAGGAATTCGAAGCAGGCGGCAACTGTAATGCACATCTTTTGGCCAGAATACAAAGAAGGCACGTTTTGCTGCAGCAAATACTTTTTTTGGTTTCAGGATTTTGAAAATTGAGGTGTGTATTAGATTCAATGCCACATTAGACTCAAGTAAATATGGCAATTTGGTGATTTGCAACTGAGTCCAATTTGGTCTAGACCAGGACTTCTTAAACTGTGGGTCCTGACAGCAAATGGGGTCTCTTTAGCTCGAAACATTTTCTACACATCACCCATTGCCTGTTTTAGGGCAGTTCCAGACAGAGGAAGAGTCTGGTCGAACCACACTGGTAAGAAACCTTGCACTTTCCTGAGGGGGTGTCCAGATGCCCTGCTGAACCTTTCAGCAGGGCACCCAGACAAACAAAAAAACCCCAGAAAAGCCATAAAAATAGAAATTACTTACTTGGCCAGCATTTCCCTGCTGCCGGTCCTCTCCTGGTGCGTAGAAATGATGTGCTAGAAGAAGGGGGGGGCAGGAGCAATTTTGCTCCCCCCCCCCCCAACTTCTCCTGGCACATCTTTTCTACATGCCAGGAAAGGGCAGGCAACAGGGAAATGCCAGCCAGGTAAATACTTTTTTACTTTTTAAGGAATTTCTGGGGAGGTTGGGGAGGAGGTGGGGGCTGTCTTGGATTTTTTGGGCTTCAGGAGCCCTAAATTCCTGAGACAGCTGTGTGGTTTGGGATTGGAAGTCGCATGACGTAATCCTCGAATCCAATCTACACAGAGCCTGCCCTTGAAAGACACGGGCCTTTCCAGGTCCCAAATTAATTCGCTTTTACCTGAGGCATCGTTTGGATACCTCACGTAAAAGTGCAGGTGCTTGCGCATTTTAGGGCCTGTGTGGATGCGTCCTTAAATAGTTACATGAATATATTGTGCAGTGCTTACAGTATACTCTGCAGAAGATGCTTCAGATGTACTTCATAAAAAGGAAAATCAGTCTGTTTATCAAGCCTTGCAAATGCTGACTTCTTATCAGTAAAGGTTTGGTTTTTATACTTATTTTATATACCTATAGTAATCTAAGATTATCCGGGGAGGCCCTGCTCTCACTCCCATCAACAGCACAGATGCGCCTGGCGGTGACGAGAGACAGGGCCTTCTCGGCTGTGGCCCCTCGCCTATGGAACACACTCCCAAATGAGGTAAGTTCCACTCCCTCCCTCCCTCGTGGCTTTTAGAAAAAATTAAAACCATGGTTTTAGGACCAGGCCTTCGGGCAGTAGAAGTAAATGTATGCAGCATTTCGGAAAGACGATGACTGGAACGGCGATTTGACGGACAAGACTGTTTTATTGTTTTAATGATTGTTTTATTGCTCATGGATTTATTTTTTAATTTGATTTATGTCTAATTGTAGTGTATAATTGTAATTGTTTGTACTGGCATTGATTTTTTTGCCATTACTTATGTGTAAACCGCTTTGAGTCCCCCTCGGGGTGAGAAAAGCGGCATACAAATACTGTAAATAAATAAATAAATAAAATATATACCTTGGTCATGTAAAAATTTCTCAGGCCAAAAG